ATTGAGAGTACAATTTTGGTAGCGAAATAGAGTAGAAACTGAATTTGGAGCAGCTTAGTATGAGTGAATGTGAAGAGAAGATATAATGAATATGGACTTCAGAAAAATTTGGAAGTAGAAGGAAGAGATGTCTTTGTTATTTTGACTATTTAAAGGAATTACATTCAAATAAATTAAAAAATACTGAACTGAAAACAATAGAAATTTACCTGAAAATATATCCCTGTGCCCTAACTATAGTACTATAGTATAAAATTATACTATAGTATAATTTTTTCACAAGTATAAAAAGCAGAATTCACCGTAAGTCTAAGAGTTTCCACATCTGCATATGTGAATAGGCTTAAAGATTCCCTCACCCCCATTACTAAAATCCAGTTTCTGAAATTTTCTCTTGTGAGTCTTAGAACTGGACACAGTACTTCAGAAAGCCTTTGACCACTGCTAGGAAAAATATGAATATTGCCTTTATAGTTTTGCCAACACTCTCATGTTAAGGAAATTTGGAACATAGTGGGGTTTTAGTTCACGTAAGGAGCCAGAAAAAAACAAACAATCCTGTCAAAAAGTGGGCTAAGAACATGAATAGACAATTCTCAAAAGAAAATATACAAATGGCCAACAAACGTGAAAAAATACTCAACGTCACTAATGATCAGGGAAATCCAAATCAAAACCAAAATGCAATACCACCTCACTCCTGCAAGAATGGCCATAATAAAAAAAAATTAAAAAATAGTAGATGTTGGTGTGGGTGTGGTGAACAGGGAACACTTTTACACTGCTGGTGGGAATGTAAACTAGTACAACCATTATGGAAAACAGTATGGAGATTTCCTTAAAAAATAAAAGTAGAACTACCATTTGATCCAGGAATCCCACTACGGGGTTTCTACCCAGAGGAAAACAAGTCATTATACGAAAAAGATACTGCACACACATGTTTATAGTAGCACAATTTACAATCACAAAAACGTGGAAGCAACCCAAATGCCGTCAACCAATGAGTAAAGAAACTGTGAGATATATATGTGTGTATATATAGTATTCATATATATTTTATTTTTGTATTCATATATATATATATGAATGAATGATGGCATACTACTCAGCCATAAAAAGGAATGAATTAACAGCATTCGCAGTGACCTGGATGAGATTTGGAGACTATTATTCTAAGTGAAGTAACTCAGGAATGGAAAACCAAACATCGTATGTTCTCACTCATAAGTGAGAGCTAAGCGATGAGGGTGCAAAGGCATAAGAATGACACAGTGGACTTTGGGGACTCAGGGGAAAGAACGGGAAGGGGATGGGAATAAAAGACTACAAGTAGGGTGTAGTGTATACTGTTTGGGTGATGGGTGCACCAAAATCTTACAAATCACCACTAAAGAACTTACTCATATAACCACCTGTTCCTCAATAACCTATGGAAATAATAATAATAAAGGAACTGGTACTATTAGCTAGATGAAAATCCAGGCCTCCTAATTATTGTATGGTGTTCTTCCTACTACAGCTTGATAATAGAACAAAGACAAAACCTTCTAGCAGCATAAAAAAAGTATTTAAAAAAATCTGATAATTAAGGGATGAGTATTATAAAACATCCCAATATTATTTAATAGCAAACTAGAGTTATACATTTAAGTTTTTATATAAATTGTGAATTTATACATTTAAACGACTTCACAGATAACTTTAGGGAAACATTTAATGTGTAAATTAGTATCTATATATTTTAAATAATTGCCTTAGAAATTCTAGGTTGTTTAGTTTTTGATTTATTATAATCGTTGGAACCTTTAGATGTGCACTATTTCTGCTAATAGTTATTGCCCGTTAAGTACTTCGCATGTGCTTTGGCTGAGTTCTTTGTCTTGATTTTCTCATTTAATCTTTACAACAACCATAAGAGGTAAGTATTCACATTATGAGAAAGCTGCACTGAGTGATGTCATCAACTTGGAAAAGGTGGCATACACATCTAATAAACAGGGTGGAGCTAAAATTACTACCATTTGATCCCAGAGTCTTTGCTTTGCACAGCTGTGCTGTTTTATCATTCATTTAAGCTTCTGTTTAATATAGTAGTTTAAAAAATATATCATTTGGATTCTATTTGCTTCATTTTTAATTGATATATAATTGTACATATTTTTGGGGTTACATACTTGCATACAATTTATAATGATTAAATCAAGGTAATTGGGATATCCATCACCTCAAGCATTTATCTTATGTTGAGAACATTCCAATTCTTCTCTTCTAGCTATTTTGAATGGCACATTATTGTTAATTGTAGTCACCCTACTGTACTATCAAACACTAGTTCTTATTCCTCCTATCTAACTATATTTTGTACCCACTAACCAAACTAACTTTATTCATAACTCTTAATAAATAACCTCTTTGAAAAGAGGTTGGTAATGGGTCTGTTTGCTTCATTTTGAATTTAAACCTAATAGAGGCATGTCATCATCCTCAGTGAGTGTGATTTTTGTTGGGTCATTGATCATTGATGAGGGTGTTAAAACATACTCCAGTTGAGAATTAACCTTATGGCATGCTGCTTATGATTTTTTTGCCAGATTCATGTGGAATGCTTGGTGGCTCTTTTGGGGGCTTTGGGGGCTTTGTATCTTAGAACTGAGGCAGGAAATGTGGAATATATCTAATATGACTATTTTGTTGAGTACTGGAAACTTTTTAGAGTAATTAATACAAAACTTTGTGAATCACAAGTAGTTAAAAGGAGATAAATCTGAGGTATTTTAAATTGAGACTACCAGAATATTTTATAATATTTTGCCAAATATAGATTTGGTACCTTGTTGTTATTTTAAACTATTGAAGATATTGTAACTTTTGTTACTTGCTTTTCCTTTGAAAATTATGAAACTACATTTTCTCCCTTTTGTGACTCTGCTGTACATTTTCCCCCTTTGCCTAAGTTTAGATTTAGAATTATTAAGGGACGTCTCTTTTATGGAATGCTTGACATGGTGTCCTTTGTTAGCTAGTCACCTTTCAGTGGTGTACTAGTGACAGTAAAAGCATTTCAGGTAATTTTCACTGGGTAAATGTACATTTAGAGGAAGTAGTCTCAAGTCTTCATGAAGAGGAAGGATAACAGCTGCTTTTATATAGTCTAATAAATGCTAAACTTTTATTTATCTGGAAGAAAAATGCCGCTTTTTGAGTTATGCTTTACCTGAAAGTTGGCTGAAAAATGATTTACAGTATTTGATACCTTATTTTCAAATGAGCAGTTTAAATTATCAAATCCTAATATGATTTTATTGATCTCAGTACATTTTGCAGCATTTAACAGCTTTCCTAATGTGCAACCACCTATTAAGGTGCTCCTTGTGAGTAAAAAATAAAGTTAGCAGCTAATTTGCAGATGTTAGGATATGATTTGTTCAGGTGAAAGCTGAAATTTTCTACATAATTTGCATGGAAAGTAGCAAAATATAAAGATGCTTCCATTTTTGTAATGATACTATGCTTATAATTTTTATTGCCATGGCTTGGTTAAAGACTAAATTGTGAACCAATGGAAAATTAGTTGGTCCCAGTAATTTTAGCTAAAATCATTTGAAAATACTTAGTTGTGCACAAAAACTGTCATCTGAAGTAAGTATTCATTAAATGTGAGCTATCAGTTTACATACATTATCGTATTTAATTCTCATAACAATTATATTACTTAATAATATTATCCTAATTTTACAGATAAAATAACGGGTTTGTCAAAGTTAGGTAACCCATCTGAAGTCATGTAGCCAGCGCCAAGATTCCAGCCAAATCTTTTTGACTTCAGGACCCCGGTTCTTAGCTAGTAGACTAGATTGGGATGAACTAAGATCTGATGCTAGACCTGTACTTTCAATTGCAATGAACTTTCATGAAAATCTTTAACTGTCAAGTAGAGTCCAAGTGTTTTGCTTCTGGACGTATGTATTTTTACTATTTATGCCAATTAAAAATAACTCATTTAGTTTCAGCTCACTAATTCAGGATTTGTGATAATTTAATGTGGTAGGTAGAATTGAAAAAGTATAAAGGCTTCTTTATGTGAAATCTTACCACTGACATTCAAGTAAAATATTGGTGGGAATGGAGAATAGTAGAATTTAATTTTATGTTACTGAGTACAAGTCATGAAACTTTTTTTGTAAAGAGCCAGATAGTAAATATAGTTAAATGGCCTTGAGAGCCATGTGGTCTCTGTTGCAAGGACTCTACTCTTCTAAAGCAGTCATAGACAATATGTAAACAAAAGAACTGGCCTGTGTTCTAATAAAACTACAAAAGCAGGCGGCAGCCTGGATTTGGCATGTTTGCTGACCCCTGTTACAGAGAATCTTGTAATTTCTGTAACTATAAGCTTAAGATTTATTAATGATGAAACATTGTTTATATGGAGTAGATCTGTTGAATGTTTTGGCCAAAACAAATTTGCCAAAAGGATAGCAATACCATAAAGGAGAATGGAAATGGTACCTCCTAATAGTAAAAATACTTTTTCAGCATTTCTGTGACTACTTAGATTAATTACTTTGATAATTCCAGAATATACTTATTCACTTATCTCTTAGTTTTTAGTTTTTTAAATCTTGAAAAACAAATCTGCAATTTGGAGTTTTCACTAATTCTGATAAACTTTCTTTCCTTTATCATAATTAGGAAGATTACTGTAAAAAGACTTGACACGTAATTAGGTTATTTTATTTTACTGAATTTGTTTTGAAAAGCGGTATCAGTAGCTACACTTAGATCACGGCTTGTTGTATAAACGTACAGTTGAACTGTAAGTTCAGAAATAGAGTACTTTGTTTTCAATGTCACATATTATAGATTTCTTATTATAAGTAATTTTGACACTACAATGCCTTTTGGGGCTGTAAAATTTTAATAAATATAAATTGTTTGTGATATTGGCTAATATGGTATATTGGAAATTAAGTCTAGTATGTACTTACTCTTCTCAGAGATTCGTCAGCGAACTGCAGCTCAAAGAAACCTTTCTCCAACACCAGCAAGCCCTAACCAGGGCCCCCCTCCACAAGTTCCAGTATCTCCTGGACCACCAAAGGACAGTTCTGCCCCTGGTGGACCCCCAGAAAGGACTGTTACTCCAGCCCTCCCATCAAATGTGTTACCAAGACATCTTGGATCCCCTGCTACTTCAGTGCCTGGAATGGGTAAACAGAGCACTTAATGTTATTTACAGTTTATATTGTTTTCTCTGGTTACCAATAAAATGGGCCATTTTCAGATGGTATGGAAATGGCATTTCATTTGGAAATAGCAGAGCAGTTATCTGATTAAGCAGGAGTTCCATATTCAATTAGCCATAACTCTTTACAGCTGGCACCTTGCGATACTGAAACCTATTTCTCGAGCTCATTTAACTGTTATGGCTTCTTTGTTTAAATGGCAATAAAACTTTGTATTATTCTGTAGCCAACAGTACAGCATATCTTTTTATATTCAACTTTAGAATGCCTCCAGATTTATATAAAATGGGGATAGAAGAAAACACTTTTGGAATGTATTGATGTTTTTTGCTAAACTCCATACATATATTTTTAAACAAGACAACATATTTCAGGAATAATACTCCTGTATTATGGTATACTTTTGTTAATGTGGGCTAGTAGATTTTTTTTAAGGCATAGAACCTTAGTATTTTCTGATAGATATTTTATAAAGCTCTAAAATGAACATATTGTCTTTATTTTATTTCATAGATTATCTCTTTTCACTGTGGTGGATCTCTAGGGGAAGATCCCATTCTGAAGTGTAATAGACTATAGTACCCTGCAGTTTCTTTTGGAGTGTGATTGGGGCATAGAAGTCCACTGCTTTAGCACAGATCACGTTGTTTTACATAGATTTCCATGTCATATTGTTGTATATGATAGTAAATTATTTGTTTTAAATTATTTAATTCTAATGTAGATTAATTTGTTATTTCATGACTAATTACTAATATATAATTAATAATGATTTTGAGGCTAGGCAGTAGCTGATATCAGGTAATCAGAGTATTTGTGTAGTAAAATCATTAAAAAATGGAAATGTTACGTAGTACAGTAGATGTTTTTCCTGTTTTCCTTCACAAATGCAGCATGAGATTTTAGAAGACTAAAAAACCTCTTCATTTATTAACAAATTAAGAATACTGACTATAAATGAAATGTATACAAATCTTAAAACTTTTAAAATAGTTATGTAAAACAATACTTTTAAATTTGACATATAATGACAATACTTAAGGCAGCCATATATTTTATGCAATTGAGAAAAGTTAAATTGATTGAAAATTAATGTTTCTGTTGTTATCTGGTTGATTTGAGATACCCATGATTTGTAAATTAAAATTCCTGGTTGTTTAATGAAATAACATTTTTGGGTGCCAATGTATGGATTATATACCTTTGTATATCTAATTTATTTTAAGCAAAAAGTTTAGCAACATATATAGTAATAAAAACTGTATTGCACATGTAAGAATAGGGCTATAGAAGAATAATAGCCTAGATTTTATGATCATGTAAATATAACATGTTTTACTAAAGTTTTTAATTAGTTTCTGTGTGAAAGACTGTGTTTAAATTGTACATTGCCAAAAATGTGAATGAGTTAAATAATTTATTATAAAGAAGATTAATATTTAATTTTTTCTTTATGCCATATTTGTGGAAGTGAATCAATTTAATGTGTATTACCACAGAGCTCCCATATGTTTGAAAATTAATAACCAGCAGGTACTTGATAATTTGCCAAGCTGTGTAAAAATGACCAGTATTCCTACAATGATTGCTTTTGATGTTTGTATTAATTACCATTGTCTATAACAGCGTGAATATAAAGATGCATGTGCAAAAGGTTTAAGTCATTTTTATGAAATCTGTTATTTCATGTATCCAGATTCTTTTGTGGATATGTTCACTTTAAATATGTAGAAGTAAAATACTCTAGCAAAAGTTAAGTTGGCTTAAATGCTTTCCAAATCTAATTTGGCTTGCTTATTCAAGTTGAAAATTTGATAATGAGGGATGACCACGTCTGGATTCAAGTTTATTTTTTGATGATAATAATTGAATGTTGTTAGCACAAGTAAACCAGTAACTTAGCTGATGGAATCTTTTTTTTTTTTTTTTTGAGACAGAGTCTTGTTCTGTCGTCCAGACTGGAGTGCAGTGTCGTGGATCTTGGCTCACTGCAACCTCTGCCTCATGGGTTCAAGCAGTTCTCCTGCCTCAGCCTGCTGAGTAGCTGGGATTACAGGCGGGCGCCACCAGGCCTGGCTAATTTTTGTATTTTTAGTAGGAGTTT